GGCGAGTTGAAGGAGAAACTGGTAGTTTTCCTCTGATGAAACAATCAGATACAGTATCGTAGTTAAGTTAGATATTTGGGGAATGTTTGCGTAATATGTAAGGGGAGGGGAGGGGGGCAGCACACGTTTTGGTAATAGGCCCTTTGCAGTTAACGGTCACGTGTCTGTACTGGTGAGCCAAATCTTTTATTTTATTTGAAATTGGTGATTCATTTTAGCTACTTGTAAAGAACTGAATGAAACGATGTGTAACCAGTGTGTCACGAAATGCAGTTTTATTACGACCTCTCAAAACAGGTTGTAGAAATTTTGTTTGCTCACCAGTATATTTAACCCATGGGAATCAAGATGTTCATTCATTTGCTCTCAGTGTATTAATCAGCACGTGATTACTGAGCTGCAAAGGGCCTATTCTACCTTTGCAAACTAGCTAATACATTCTTCACCTGTAACTGTCGCCTTTGTCCCGGATGAGTAGATATGTTTCAACAACACTTCCATTTCGTCAGAATGTTTCCCTGGTAACGGGATCTCTTTGGCGTTACTCTCCATAAACTGGGACGTAAACATTGTACGGAATACCGGGGACCACATTGATAAGATGCATTTGTGTACATGGAACTTGGTGTCCTCCACAACAAGTACCACATCACTAAAGTGCCAAGGGGACGAAAAATCCAAAGATGATTCTTCATTAAGCACTACATTCTCAATCATCAAGGTTTCAGAGGTAGACTCTTGATCAGCACTCGTGCTAGCTTCCATTTCGCACTACCTGCCGGATAGATAAATAAAACTGTTAAGGGACCGTTAATAATTTATTGAGGAAGGAAATACGAATAAGATGTTTGTTTTTAGACGTTTTTAATATGAAACTGATGACAAGAATGGGAATAGGCAAGGAAATGCCAAGTGCAATGTATCTTTAGAGCCAACGTAATCTGAAACCGGAAGTGCGAGACTTGCAAATTCCAAGAACTGAAACTATTAAAAAAAACAACTAAGAAACCTTCGTTATGGTGTGATTTTCCTCGTTATTCGAGTAAGATCTGGTTCGATTGCGGTTTATCAAGAGTTTTATGCATATTCAACTGTGTTGGGATATAGAATTGATAACGATTTTAAGCTTTAGATCACAAGAATCATTTACCAGAATTTTCGACCAACGCCGCTTTGGTCGTCCTCCAGTATCTGATGTATCGATACCTATAAATATCGATTTCTTAACGACAAGACGTCTTCTGGTTTATAGTATGAATAAGTGAATTAATAAAACTAGAAATACTTACGTTCCTATAGAAAGATCAGTGATTTTTGAGCTTCTTTTCTGGCAGAACAACGAGCATCAAATCAACACTCTTCGCGTCAGTGACGAGGTATCGTGAAGTAAAGCCTTAGACTCTTCCACAGTCTCTCGCTCGTCCGTTCCGTCTCCACGCTTAGAGACTGTAACGGTACAATGACCGAAAGGACTTATGGGTCCCGAAAACTTGGACCCAGCGCGCTTTGGGAACCAAAATACTCGTCCACAGTCTCTCTCGTTTCAATATTTTCAAGATGGCGGCGAAAACTAGAGAGATATAAGTCCCATAAGTCCTTTCGGTCATTGTACCGTTACAGTCTCTAAGCGTGGAGACGGAACGGACGAGCGAGAGACTGTGAAAGAGTCTAGTAAAGCCTCAGTCTCAGTCTTCTTTCGCGGACTTTATTAACACAGGAATCCCGCCCAAAATACAACAATAGAAAGATAAGCAAACAAAGAAACGAACAGAAAATAACAGTCCCTTGACACGATGGGAGCTGTTTTTGAGATCTAAACAGCATTCCTGAAGCATCTTAACAAAGTACAGATGTGTTATAATAGAATAAAATCAGTCAAAAAATCCGAATGATTTTTACTTACGAATAGACTAAAATCTTGCTGAGAAATTCCTTATGTAACTCTTGGCCTAATGGAGTCCTGAAGTGTAGTGGTTTACCAATTTAACTTCAAAGGGAAGACTCGCTGTCTCTCAAGAAAACCTTCCAGTAGTAAACAGAAGAATAAGGGTGGTGTTGCGTGACCTGCACGTCGTTACTCGTAACGCATTCGCATTTCTAAAATGCACGCATTTGCTTAACATCTCTTATTTTGGAGGCCCCATAAAGACAGCAGTGACTTGCTTACTGTCCGCGGCCTGTAGCCTACTTTATATGACGGTATGTCTGTGTGTCTGTCCGTCGGTTTTTGTCAGCCAAGCATTAATCACATTGAAAAATTAAAATTGTATTGTATTGTATTGTATTGAAAAAACAGAAACCGCTTGTTTGAGTAAATTTTAATGGTTTAACTAGGTTTTTCTACAATAAAACTCTTGTATTCATAAAAAAACTGAAGAAAACAGGACCGAAGAATTGTTCTGGTTTAATACTAAACACTTGCATGTATTTGTTCACATATATGCTCAATTCTAATTCAAGTTTTATGTTTTACCTGTCGAGAGCAAAATCGCAAAGTCATAACGGCTTTATATCAGTCCTATTGATGATTATAAGGTGGCTCTAACAGAACACAAAAAATGAAGTAATCCAACTAGAGTTTGAAGAGCTAACTAATGACCCGAACAAGCATTGCAAATGTTGTGCGCAATGCTGCATGCAACATCGTTGATGCAAATGGGAAAAGTTGTTACRTGTGACATTCTTTGAAATAAAATCTTATGCAATGACTGTGGCCAGAAATGTCGACCACGTGTCTAAAGCCATTGATTACGATTAATTTAGTATTGATTACATTATTTACGAATATGTTTTTTTACTGGTTCCTCTAGAGACTTAATCCGGTTATCAGTTGTTGCTAAAGTGACTATCGCACTGTCGGTCAACCATTGCAACATGCTATAAAACTAGTATCGAGATTTTGTACAACATTACTGGCAAAGGCTTGATGTTATCAGCTAATGGAATGCGACTTTTGCGTGYACCGCTGACTAAAACCACGTAGGTGGGTAATCGCTTTTCTGTTCTTTTGGTTTATCAACCATAATCTTCTTCGCTTCTCTTGCAGCTACTTTGTTATTTTGTTGTAAATC